TGGGGGCGAGGCCGAGGGACGGGACTGGCCCGGCCACTTTCGGAGTCGGCCTCGCTGCGAAGCGAGCGCGCGCGTACCCGGCAGCGGCCGCCGAGGCGCTATGGGCCCACCTGGCCCCGGGCGCCGCACCGTGCGAGTCCCGGCCTGGAGCCAGGTGGGCGGAGCTGGGTCGAGGCTGGGGGCCGGCGGGGAGAGGAGGCGGGAGCGGGATCTCTGCGGGGGTCCCACGGAGCCTGAGCCGGGGCTGGGGGCCTAGAGTCGCGGACTGTCGGGCCGACGTCGTCTGCCTCACCGCGCGGGCCGGCGCAGGGAGTGTCGCCGAGGGTCCGGGAGAGAGCCTGTTTCCCTGTGCCTACTTCCCGCCCTCTCGGCTGAGCCCCGGCCTGTATTTTGAGGAGAGAAGGCAGAGGTGGTTCTTCCATCCGGGCCCCGGGGCTGGCCGGCCCGGCTTCGGGAGGGGGAGGCGGGGAGGGCTGCCTGCAGTCGCCGGGAGGCGGACGGACTCTTCGCCCTCATCAGATTTGTTTACGCGATTCTCTCGGTGCCCGGCCTCACTTCTCCATGCCCGGTGACTTGGGACTCGTATGTGCCCGCGCCGGAGCTGGGTGCTGGAGTTGGGGGCAGAGGCGGGCGGCTCAGGTGTGTTCATCTTGCGGCCACCGGGGCCAAACCCGACGCCTGCACTTGGAGGACTTAGAGGTGCACAGCAAGCATGTGGTGTGGATGAGGGATGGACCACGATGCCAGCTTCCTTCCAAATTACTTCCGGCGTGACCTTGGGCAGGTCACCTCACCTCTCTCTGAGCCTTAGTTTCCTCATTGGCGAAGTGAGACTGTGAGGATTATTGAGGCAACTAATACTTGTTGAATGACAGGCGGTGAGGGTCGTGTTAAAGTCAAAGTGCTTCTGCCTCGTGTCTGTCCCTTCGAGTCCTGGTTTGTGAGTCAGTCTGTGCTCCATTTCACTGAGGTTTGTTTTTCAGGATTGAAGCCACAAGATGGCTGATCAGGACCCTGGGGGCATTAGTCCCCTCCAACAAATGGTGGCCTCAGGCGCTGGGGCTGTGGTCGCCTCCATCTTCAGTAAGACCTGGGGAAGTGGGAGGCAGGCAGCTGGGGATTGGGGCAGAGCAGAGACTGGAGACAACTTGGTTCTGGGGGAGGGGGTCAAGGGTGGAGTGCTGATGAGTCTTCAGACCTGCCTTCTCCCCCAGTGACACCCTTGGATGTGGTGAAGGTCCGCTTGCAGTCTCAGCGCCCTTCGGTGGCCAGTGGTGAGTGCCTGGCCCTGGAGCCATTGCGGGGTGGTGCCTGGACAAAATGAGGATCTCCCTGTGATGGGGTCCCTGGGACGGGTGGGGGGCATGCCTGACTTGAGGGGCTGCCTTGTATTTTAGAGCTGATGCCTCCCTCCAAGCTCTGGAGCCTCTCCTACACCAAATGTAAGTTCCCCAAGCCCCAGGGAGCCTGGGAGGGCCTATGGGAGGGGTGTCTCAGGGTCCCCATGGGCCCCACAGCCATGGACTAGCACATACTTCCATATAACATCAGCCAGCCCTCTGTCCTGCACAAGAACATCCACACAGGGACCCCAAGGATGTGGGCCTACTACCTCCCTGCAAGGTTCTAGGGCCCTGTCAGTCTAATGCCCCCTTCCCTTCCCCAGTGCCTTCCTCTCTCCAATCCACAGGGAAGTGCCTCCTGTACTGCAACGGTGTCCTGGAGCCCCTGTACCTGTGCCCAAATGGTACTCGCTGTGCCAACTGGTTTCAGGACCCTACCCGCTTCACTGGCACCATGGTGAGGAGCAGCTGTGCCCTCAGCTGTGTCCATAGGTGTTCCTGAGGGATTCAGTCTGGTTGGGCAGCAGACCCAAGGAAGAACAGGTGGTGCGGGGCATGTAGAGGTAGCCAATTCAGTTTGGGAAGGGCTTCCCAGAGGAGGTAGTGCCTCCATGAGGTTTTGAAGGATAAATAGGAGTCTACCCGGAGCCAACTGGGAAACTGCATGCATGGAGGCCCTGAGGGGCTGGCTGCCTCCTAGCAGGACCCAGGGCTGTGGGCAGAGGCTGAGGGCACCAGGCAAAGGCCCAGGATGGGCCAGCTACATCACAGGCCTTGCTTAGGCCCATCTTCTTTCCCCCTGGGTTGGCACATGCTTGGCCAGGATGCCTTTGTGAAGATTGTGAGGCACGAGGGCACCAGGACCCTGTGGAGCGGCCTCCCAGCCACCCTGTGAGTAGCCCAGTCCTGTGGATTGCCTTCTCCTGGTACCTGCTGATTCCTTGTTTCCTGTTGGCTGGCTGGGGCTCTTGAAATGTTTGGGAACCCTTGAGAGTCCCAGCTAATCTCTGTCCACACCCCCAGGGTGATGACTGTGCCAGCTACCGCCATCTACTTCACTGCTTATGACCAACTCAAGGCTTTCCTGTGTGCTCGAACCCTGACCTCTGATCTCTATGCACCCATGGTGGCTGGCGCACTGGCCCGCCGTGAGCAAAGCCCTGGACCCTAGATCTCCCGCTGTCCTCACCTGTGCCCATGCCCACTCAGTCCTGGCTACCAGCCCCAACCTCTGCCAGCCTGGGGGTGGGGTGGTATTCTAGGTCTCCAGATTCTGGGGCAGTAGCTGGGTGCTGCCATGTAGGACCTGTGACCTGACCTCTCCCCACTATCCTCCCTACCCCCTGCAGTGGGCACAGTAACTGTGATCAGTCCCCTGGAGCTTGTACGTACAAAGCTACAGGCTCAGCATGTTTCATACCGTGAGCTGGGTGCCTGTGTCCGGACAGCGGTGGCTCAGGGTGGCTGGCGTTCACTGTGGCTGGGCTGGGGCCCTACTGCCCTTCGAGATGTGCCCTTCTCAGGTAAGCACTCAGGGGTGCAGCGCCTGGGGTAAGGGAGCCCTTAGATGATGCACAAGGGGTTTGCAGCCAAGTCCTGCCTTGTTACTAGTGACTGTGAAGTTATTTAACTCTTCTGAGCCTTGAGTTCTCATCTGTGAGATGGGCCCAGCAAACAGGGTGTTTGCCCAGGTTTTAATGAGATCATTTCTGCAAAAGGCCTATCACAGAGCGTGGCATACAGCTGGGAGCTAGTGGTTGTCAGTGGAAGCTGGGAAGTGTGGGGCCCTTCTCACTGTCTTCCCCATCACTAACGAGCATACCCACTCCCCCTCCCAAGCCCTGTACTGGTTCAACTATGAGCTGGTGAAGAGCTGGCTGAATGGGCTCAGGCCAAAGGACCAGACATCCGTGGGTGTCAGCTTTGTGGCTGGTGGTATCTCAGGGACGGTGAGTGGACTGGGTGGGGGTGAGGCCAGTGGAGGTGTCCTTGGGGATCCGGGGGTTGTTGGTGTTGCCCTTGGAGAAGAGTCCCAACATTGTGCATCAGCTGCCTGTCTGGGAGTTTGCTCACTCTCCCTAGCAGATCCCGTGTGGCCTTCATCCCTCCCAGCCCTAAGAGCCAGTTGGGATACAGGGGATAGAGGTCTTGGGAATGGGGACAAGCCCTCTCCCCACCTCATCAGGTGGCTGCTGTCCTGACTCTACCCTTTGATGTGGTGAAGACTCAACGCCAGGTCGCGCTGGGAGCGGTGGAGGCTGTGAGAGGTGAGGGCCTGGGCTGGTGTGGGTGGGGGGCAGGCAGGGGAAGGAGTGGGGTCTTACTGAGCCAGACCTCCCATTTGCAGTGACTTCCCCACATATTGACTCCACCTGGCTGCTGCTGCGGAGGATCCAGGCCGAGTCGGGCACCAAGGGACTCTTTGCAGGTGAGCAGGTGTCCGTCAGTGGCCTGGGGGGCGGGGGGGCCCCTCTGGGACCCTGACCCCAACCTTGCTTCCCATCAGGCTTCCTCCCGAGGATCATCAAGGCTGCCCCCTCCTGTGCCATCATGATCAGTACCTATGAGTTCGGCAAAAGCTTCTTTCAGAGGCTCAACCAGGAACGGCCTCTGGGCCACTGAAAGGGGCGAGGAGACGAGGACCCATCTCTTTCACGGTGGGGAGAGCAGCCCGAGGAGACTGAGCCAAGTGCCTTTTCCTCAGCACTGAGGGGAGGGGCCTTGCTTCCCTTTCCTCCTCAGACACAGCTTTTTTCCTGCTGCTCCCAGTTCCCATCCCCCAAGTTCAAGACCAAATCTGCTAACTGCCCTCTGCCTTTGTGTTTGCTGTAGCTCGCCTGCCCCCAGGAGTCAAGAAACCCTGGGCCTGGCTTAGTCACCCCTACCCCTGTGAATTCCTTAAGTCTAAAGATGATGAAGAACTGCCCAGCGCTTGTGACTATGGGGGTCTGGGGTGGGTGGGGAAGGTGGGCCTTGGTGAGTGAATCGAAAGAGGAGGACTGGGAGTGGGCCCAGGGTTGGGGGCAGAAAGTAGACACCCGGTAGTGTGGTCCCTTCAGGGTGGGCCCACTGTGTTAGCATTAGGGTAGAGGGTGGTGAGACCTTTCCACAAGGGCCCACTTAAGTGACACCAGAGGAGGGAAGGTTGCTTAACTGCCAGGCTCTGGCCTAATGGAAGGGTCTGCTACTTCGGACCAAAACTGAATTGCTCCGGCCAGTGGCAGGGAGATGGTCCCGTGGGGGCTCCCCTCCATCCTGCCTCTGAAGTGCCCCCTCCTCTTTGCTTGGGCTTGAGCAAGTTATTAAAGAATATGAGGTTGAAGGGGCACTTACATGTCCTGGTCCTGCCCTGGGCAGAGCTAATACTTAGAACGCTGATACAAAAGCCTTTACTCCCTGAATTATTACGGCGCATCTGCTCTCACAGTGCACAGGTTAGTTCCTCTGTCTGACCCAGCGGCACCTTGGTTATGGGCCAGGCACTGGCTCCACCGGCTCCTGCTGACCTCAGGATGGGGCCATATCCCAGCCCCCCATAGATGAGGCTGCCCTCAGTCTTCTGCTTTTTATTTGCCTAATCCCCTCAGAGCCTCCACCCTGGGGGCTGAGGAAGGACTGACTCCAGGGGATACACAGGGACAGAGGCATGGGAGGTGGGGTGCTGAGGTGGGGCCACCAGCTCCTGCAGAGGGTGGGCGAAATGAGCAAGAGAGAGTCCAGAAAGAAGCCAGCCAGGCATCAGGGTTGCCAGAAGAATAGAGTAGGCCTCCCAGGGGACTCCCTATGGCCTTGGTGCCCATGCCTCCTGTGAAATGAGCAAGAGAGAGTCCAGAAAGAAGCCAGCCAGGCATCAGGGTCGCCAGAAGAATAGAGTAGGCCTCCCAGGGGACTCCCTATGGCCTTGGTGCCCATGCCTCCTGGCCCAACCAGCTTGCCTTTGCTGCCCCTTCATCCTCAGGCAGGAAGCTAAAACAGGCAGGAGGCAGGGGGTTGTCTTTCCCAAGAGACCTCAGCCTTTTCTGAAAGGGTGGCCTGGATTAGGGGACTAGAGGAAAGGGGGCAGGTGTCCGTGGCCCCCAGCAGGTGGGTCTGGCACTGCCCCTGCTGCTCCTCAGCTGGGGCTCAGTGCGGGGCTGCCCTCAGGACTGTCGCTCACCAGGCACTCGTTGGATTTGAAGCTCGCCAGGGACTTGCAGCTGGGGATGGAGGCCAGGGAGCCGCAGAGGCCCAGCATGGAGGGCGTGGGGTCCTTCCCTGGGGAGAGAGTGCAGGTGAGGCCGGGCTAACCAGTCTTAAAGTGTATGAGCTGGGAGACAGGGTGCGCAGGGGGCAAGCAGTGAGATTTTCTTGATCTCTTCTAGAGCGTTTGTCATTTCCTATTAAACCTTTATTAAGCACCTGCCTATGCTATGCACAGTGCTGGGGACACTGTATTGTAATCGTCAGTTTATGTCTCTGTCTCCCCCTGAGGTTCATCCTCTCTTTTTGTCCGTTTATTAAACACAGTGAGCACTTGCTCTGTTCCAAGTACTGGGGATACAGAGAATGGACAAGACACAGCCCCTGCCCTCATGGAGCTCACAGTCTGGTGGTGGAGACAGACACACAGACAGTCACAAACACAGTGTGGTGGGGTACATGTCCATAGCCTGCTTTGTCTCAAAGATTGGAGGTGATCCAATACAGTGTGGTTATAAAAAAGAAAAGGCAGGAAATCCAGGTACAGGGAAAACTAAGATGGGAAAACTAAGATGAAGCCAGGGGTGAGGTCAACACAAAATGCATGCATTGAAGTCCTGGGCATTCACTCGAAGGGAGCCACTAATTTGGCTCTGAGCTTCCTGGCAGCCAAAGAAAAGGGGGAAACAGTGGTCAGGCGAGCAGTTCACAGCGTGCATGAGATCAGCGCAAATTAGGCAGAATACCTGAGAGTTTGTGAGCCCCTTAAGGATGTCATGATACCAAAAAGCCACAGAGCCCTCACCAGATGCCCACTCTGGTGATTTTTCTTACTGACACCCACATTTTACAGATGAGAATGGGGCTCAGGCAGGTGAAGTGATTGGCTAGGCTCACACGGCCAAGGAGGCACAGTGGGATTTGCACTTGTTTCTAGCATCCCAAGCCGAGCTCTTAACTGCTGTGCTAAGCTCCCAGGAAGCATTGAGAGAAAGGGAATTGGCCAGGGCAAGACTGTAGGCCCCAAGGCCTTGCCTTGGCCCTTCCTGGAGGGAGGCTGGGTGCTGGGTTGGGGAAGCTCACCCATGGTGCCCCAGGGCTCCTCGTCCCTCTTGCCCTCTCCCAGGCGCTGGGAGTCAGAGCTCAGACTGGCTTCAGCTGACAGTGGCTCCGTGCTCATGAAGCTGTGTCTGTGGCAGAGCAGAGAGCTGGGGTGCGGGCAGAGATCTACAGCCTCCGATGCCTTTCTTCCCAGGGAGGACAGCACTCAGGCCCAGCTGGGCCTGGCTGGGGCTTACCTCCGGTAGAGTTTGGAGTTGTTGGCACCCTCGGCCCCATCGAGCGTTCCCAGTGAGGGCCATTGGTTGACCAGGGGCGTGGTGAGCTCCTTGGAACCATGGGCCAGGGGGGCGTGGTCACCAGGGATCAGACCTGTCCTGGGAGGGGGAGAGGGGATCAGACCTGGCCGGGAGGAGCAGGAGGGGATGGGAGACTCAGCAAAGGGTGGAGGGAGGGGTTAGGAGTGAAACCTGAGTAGCAGAAACAGGAATAAAATGTTGGGGTCAGCGGGCAGACGCTGGAAGGCAATGGAGGCGGTACTGGGGTAGGGGTGATGGGGATTGGTGCACTCCTGTTGTGAGAATAATGGCATGTTGTAGGAGTCAACTGGGGTGATGGGGGGATGGTCAGTAGAGAATAGTGTGGGAACCCCTGAAGGGTAATGGGGAATCTTAGGGGATCATGCTGGAAGATCCAGGTGATGGATGAAAAGGTTTGAAGAAGAAAAGTTACAGGAATCAGCAGGGGTGAGGTCGGGTCACTGCGGTTCATGACGGTCACTGGGCCGGTGATGCAGAGCAGAGGCGTGGTGAACAGTGGGAGGGATGCAATCACGTTAAAGGTTGCTGAGTAACATTAGAGGTGCTTGGGAATAATGCCGGGTCTGTGCAGTAATGTTGGATGGCCACGCTAGCTGGTGGATGAGTGAGGGTGAAGTGTTGGGGATCACTGGATTCTATGTTGAGGCTAATGTCAGGAGGTCATTGCGGGGTTCTTGGAGTGGAGGTGACCGGGTGAGTGGGTTGGTGCTGGCGAGTTGGATGCTGGTGTCAGGAGGGGAGAAGCGAGAGTCAGTGGGGATGACCACGGGGTTCATCGGGGTGGCGGGGGTGCGGGGTCAAGGCAGGTGGCGGCGCTCACAGCTGCTCCTGCAGCTCCAGGATCACGCCTTCCAGCTCCCGCTTCTCGCGCTGGTTCTGCGCCGCCGCTTCCTCCAGCTGCAGCCGGAGCCGCCGGTTCTCCGCCTCCAGGTCCTTCAGCTGCGACTCGCGCAGACGCACCAGCTCCTCCAGGTAGCCCTGCGGGGCGCCGGCTCAGCCCGGGAGGCGGGAGGAGGGGCCCCCGCCCTGCTGTGCCCTGTCCCCCTCCGCGCCCAGGCCCCGCCCCCGCCGCGCGTCGCGCACCTTCTGAGCGTAGACGATGCGGAACTTCTGCTCCATCTTATGCCACTTGCTGTACCAGCTGTCCTCGTCGGTGACGAGCGGCAGGTACGGGTGCTCAGGCGAGTTGTCCTCGCTCGTGCTGCTCTCGGCGCTGTGCCGCTCCTCCTCGTCCGTCAGGTAGTCGTAGCTTGGGGGAGGGAGAGTGGCATGACCGGCCCCTGCCCCGCCCGCGCGTCTCACACCAACCCCCTTGGGCAGTGGGACCAGGATGCCCCTTCCCCGCCCCCGCCGCAGTAATGGGGCTACTCACCTCTGGGTGAACTTTAGGTAGGGCGTGTAATCGATGACCACGGGGGTCTTCCCGTCCAGCACTTCGCCCTTTAGGCAGAAGCTGGGGCAGAGGAGCCACAGGGTTGGGGGCGGGGATGAGGGTGTGGACACTTGTGGGTGATACAGCGCCCTCCACCACCGCCACCACGACGCAGACCCCACCTGAAGTCGATGGCGCTCAGTCCGATCAGCATTCCCATGAGCACCGTGGCTTCCTCCCGCAGCATGATGGCTCCGGCGTCGTAGAACCGTCTGTGGACAGAAGGGGAGGGGCTGACGGTGTAGCACCCCCAGGGATTCCCGCCCTTCGGGTCTTCTCCTGCTGGCTTACTACAGACCTTTCCTAGAAGAGGGAGGGATCAACTTCCTGCTCACCACTCGAGTGTGGATCTTGCCCCCCTAGACTGGGGCTCACTGGGGCTATTGCTTGTGTCCTCACCTACTAGAATGGTTGTTCTCTGAGAAGAGAACCCTCCCATCCTCTGAGCTAGCCCTTCCCCACCAACTACTGGTCACCCAGATGCTTCAAATCAGGAAACAAGTCTTAAACATTAGTTCCTGGGATACTGTAGGTGCTTAAAAACTATGTTGATGTGAACTCTAAAATATGTAGACTAGGGATAGAATGCAATAAAAATATCAGATTAGGTGTGGCCACTTGGGAGGAGGAGGTTCATGCCCCCCATTGTACCCAGACAGCTCCAAACACACCTTCCCACACTGGCACATTCTGCCATGTGACCCCTGCCCCAGAGACCCAACCTCCCTGTAAACCCAGTGCAGGGACTGAAGCTCTGCACATTGGGATTCTGCATCCATGGGTAACAAGTACAGAACTACTGCCATTGTTTGGAGAGCTGGTAGGGCTGTGTGTTGCAGGTCATGATGCCAGGCCAACAGGTAAAATGGTACATGGCTGAGGCTTGTTCAGAGGTGTGTCCAGGGGTAGAGTTGTGCATAATGGAATCAGTGCTGGACAACGATGGTGGATAATGGGCACTAGAATTTGACTTGGAAGGGATGGTGGTGGTGCTAAAAGTGTGTTCCAGGACTTCAGGCCAGGCTGACCCGTAGACTGGAAGATGGAAACTAACAGTGCATGCTGGGACCTGTAGTCCAGGTGCTGAAGGTTGCCACAAGAAGTTAAGGATAACTGTGTTTAGACAGTGAATGTGCACATTGGGAGCTGTGGTCCGAGCTGCCTGACAGGTCTGACCTGGTGGTCCGCATGTCCCGCAGAGCCGTGTTGATGTATTCCGACATGCGCTTCTCCATCAGTGCCACCCGGATCCATGCCCGACCCTGGAAAGCATGCTCACCTTTACTTGCTGCCCTTGAGTGACTCATGTGTCCAGCATCTGGTGTGGCCCTTCTGTGGCCCTTCTCTCCAGTGCCATGGGCATGGCGTGAGGACCAAGAAGCAGGCAAGCCCCCTGTGTCCACAGCAGGGAGCAGTTGCCCCGGCCCTGCCCGCCCCAGGCCCCTCACCTTGGCTCGGGCTGTGCTGATGTTCTCCATATTCTCGATGCTGCTCACACAGTTGTTGGGCACTTTGCTGCAGGCCAGTCGGATATAGTCCCAGAAGCCCCGCTGCCCGTCTGAGCTGAACCAGCTCACTGGACCTGCTGGGGCACAGGCTGAGCCAGGGCAGGGAGGGGGCTCAGCAAGACCAGGAGTTTGGAGAGTCCATGTAATGGGGTACTTACATGCATAAGTATAAGCAGCCATGCACATGCAGCACCTCCCCCAAACGTGCACACATGTGTGTGTGCAAAGGGCACACCAGCATATAGCTGCATGCCTGTGGTTGGGCCTTGTGGGCAGAAGACCTCTCCCTCTTCCCAGCTCTATACATGAGCTTCTGTGCATAGCTCATGGTGAAGGCCAAGGTCAATGAGGGGGTTCAGAAAGCCATGGAATATATCAGAGTGGGGTGACTGGAAGCTAAAGGCTGGGAGTTGGGAGGGCTGAGTGACGAGGGGCAGGAACCTGGGCCCACCTTTGAAACGGTGGCTGAGGATCTGCTCTAAAATGGCTGCGAAATTAACAAACTCCTCAGATGAGTCATCGATGGGCTCCCCTGTGTACTTCTCCAGCAGTGTTTTCACAGAGAACCTGGGTGGGGGGGTAGGCAGACGGGGCAGTGGGGTATCAGGTGAGAAGATGGGGTGATGGTGGTAGAGGAAGGGTGTCAGGCAAAGAGAGGGAGTGGTGAACAGAAAAGAAGTCATGAAGGGCATGGATGTGGTGGGAAGGCAGAGGGAAAGTGGGAGACAGGTGAGACAATAGTGACCACAGAGGTGCCATGTCACGGGAAGTAAGAGGGTGGCGTGGGGGGAGGGATGATGACAGATGGGAGACTGGTTGACAAAGTTGGTGACAAGAGAGGTGACAGCCAGTGAAAGGAAGCTTCAGGAACAAGGTCTGAGAGGGGATGAGACAATAGGCAGAAAGATGAGGCACCAAGAGCCAGGGGCTGTCGCTGTCCCAGAATCCCTTCCTCCTTGACCACTGTCAGCTGCACTCTCTATGTGTGCGAGTTGGGTGTGAACTAGGAGTCAGAAACTGGTTTGTGCCCCTGCCCTGAGCTGTCTTCTGCTATTGCTGGAACAACCTTCAGTCTCTTCTGGGGATGGGGGACCACCTGTGCCAGGGCATGTGAGTTGGCCCTGTGCACACGGAGCATGGGCATGCATGGGTGGCCAGGTGGGCTCTCAGAACACGGGTTCCCCCCTTCCCCCTTTTCCTTCCTGGCTTGGCCACCCACACACCAGCTGCCCAGAACCAGGCAGTGCAGAGCACGATGGGGGGTGGTGCGGGGTGTGGGTCTCACACACATACTGGGTGGGAGGGGGCATTAGCAGCAGATCCCTGGAAGGGGCTTGGGGGCCCAGACACCTGGCTTCTTGGGGAGGAAGGGAGCAAAGGGAAGGCAGTGGGGCTGAAGGACTGGAGCCAAGCCGCCCCCATCCTTCTCTTCAATCCTGCTCAAAGCCTCAGACCCCTTCTGCATCCCTACCCCTGCAATCTCCATGTGCCGTCCCTGCATTGGGATGGAGCAGGGATGAGGACACAGCTCCTAACATCCCATTATTGCCCTGTTGTGGGTGGCAGAGCAGGGGCGGGTGTCCACAGATATGGGAGCTGCTTGGAATTGACCTTTGTTTCTTTCTATGTTTATGAAGCCCTATAATAAGCCAAGCATGATGCTTTGCATGTACTCCCTCATATATCCTTACCACAGCCCTGGGAGGTAGGTCCTCTTGTTATCACCATCATCCCCATTTTACAGATAAGGAAGCTGAGGGTCCAAGAGGTGGACTGATCTATTCAGAGTCACATAGCTCATGAAGAGTCAGGCAGGTATGTCTTACTCAAAAGCCCTTGCTCCTTCTGCTACATCTTGTGGCCTCCTGGCAGTGTCACAATTACCAAGGCCCTGAGCAGCCTCCTCCAATTCTGGAGCACTGGCCTCTGAGGCTCGCAGGCCAATGGCACAGCTGAGCCCATGGCCCCTCCCTTTGGGCTTAGAGTTGGTCTGGCCTGAGATGAGAGCCAGGTCAGTGTTGGGGTTGCACTAGGGGGAGGTAGCCTGCTGGATTCAAATCCTGTTTCCTTGTGACACTTACATGGCCTTGGTCCCCTCTTCCCAGATGCAAACAGGAATAATAATACTTGCCTCATTAAATTTTAGTTCATATCATAGGCAGGGGTGGGAGAAGGTGAGCATGTATGAGCTACTGGACAGGGGTGGTGAGGAGCTGGGCCATTAATGGGAAGGCCTGCCCTGCCTGGAGGGAGCCTGTGTTTAGGGCATTATGCACCCTGTCCTCCTCAACTTGATGATTTATTCTGGTCATCTGGGTCAGACCTCGAATGGGAGACTGGGGCTGGTTCAGTGTGGCAGCCATCTGCCATCTGGTCTCGGGTGCTGCAGAGCTGGTCATCACCCCCAAGAACCCCATAGTGTGTTCCCTGATAGAAGGTGCCATAGCTGCTGCTGGTTACCATGGAGACAGGAAGGCCAGGGCCCAGGGGAGCCCATGGCCTGCTAAAGGGAGCTGTTCTGGGAGCTGGAGGTGAATCATGTGACAGTGATGAGGCAGCAGGGGCCCGAGGGGTTTCTGAGCTTTTGTCATGTCCCCGATCCCCCAAAACTATCCCTCACCCCTGAGCTCTACGCTACCTCCAATCCACCAGAACCTCTGCTTTTCCAACTTAGGCCAAGGAGAATTCTCTCCTTCCTCCCCACACTTAAGAGGCTCAGCTATCCTGGCAGGCAAGAGAAATAAGAGGAACCTAGGAGGTCAGGAGTGAAGTGAGGGGCAGGAAGGGTGTCATCAGGACAGAGCCATTTCTGTGTGCCAGGCACCAAGCTAGGCTCCTACATGGATGATGTCATTACCATTCTTTGGTATGGCTGTCACTTATAAAATGGGGATGATAAAGCATCTAAGGCCCAGAGTGATTAGGAGACTTCCCCAAGGTCGCACAGCTAATAACCAATGAAGTAAGAGTTTGAACCTAGGGCCATCTGGCCCCAAAGACAGGAATCTTTATTTTACACCACACTGGCAGTGCTTGGGGGGTTGAGGATAGAGGTGGTAGCCTGCACTTTGGGCTGGGCCATGGCTGCACTAAACCTTCCATAACATCCCAGGCATTATTACAGAGGTCTGATGTGCGCAGCGCTGTGCTAGGCACTAGGGGGGAAATGGTGTGAGAAAGGCGCAGTATGGTGTGTGTCCAGGAGCCTGGAAGGAGCTATAGGAGACAGGAGCCAGGGCATTATGTGGATGCTGGTTCCTGGGAGAAGGAGCTAGGCTGAGGCCTATGTGCAGGCAGACGGGGCTGACAAGGGAAGACAACTGAGCCCTGCACCCAGAGCACCCCGCCCCGGGAGGGCAACACCTGGTGGGAATGGGGGGCAAGGGAGATTGCTAGTGGAGAAGGCAGCTGACATGGGGACCCCAGAGGGAGAGGTGAGTGCAGGTGGAGGCTACAGGGAGAGTGGCTGAGCAGCTGGCTATTTCCTGGCTTCAGGGCAGGACAGGGAGGGTGAATCACTGCAGGATTGAAGTGGGAAGGATCACTTCCTGGGCCCCAAGAAAGCAGGCAAATCTTCCCAACCGTGTGACAGCCTCTCAGGGACCAGTGGCCCTGCCCTCCAAATCTCCTCCCCTTGAACCCATGAGACCCAGGCTTCTGGCGCTAGGTCTTTTGTCCTTCCTACAGCATGGGCAGTGAGTGACCCTCACCCTTCCCTGCGTGGATTCAGCTGCTTTGCCCACATGCTCAATTGATCCTGCCACAGGCTGCAGCTGCCCAGAGATGGAACAGGACACCATTCCTGCTCCAGGATTTGAGCATCAGAAAGTCTCCCAGGAAAGCCCCACCCCAGAGAGGCCAGGCTGATAGGATTTGGTAATGAGGGTATGCTCGGAGGGCGTTCACCCCCCCATCCCCATGGGTTCCCTCTGCCCACCCAGCCTGCTCCCTACAAGGAAGCCAGCCATCCCCCTCACCCCCTCCACGCACAATGTCACTTCCTGGTTCTCACAGGAAGCTGCAGTGCCAATTAGACACCCCTTACCCCCCAGGCCCCAAGCCCGGCATAGGCCTGGCTTGGCCTACAAGGGTAAGGACCAGACTTCAACCCCCTCCCGGTTCTGGGTCGGGGAGGGACAGTGACGCGCTCTTTTAAACCCTTGGCTTCCCTTCCTTTTCTCCGCAGCTGCTGGGCATCCTCCCGCGGGCCCGCTGAGGCCAGGTTTCCGCAGCCCGCCCCAGCCCCTCTCCCT